AGATGAACTGAGAAATATACACGGTTTTATCAACAGAATGATACGGCCAATATCGAACATCGTTTCTCGGCTGAATAAGACGAAAAATAATTTAAAAAAGCAGGGGCTAACCTATCTTCAGTTGCTTCACATTTAGCCTCAACTTAATCCTCTGGGCTTATCCTCTAAACCATATCCTTCTGAGTTAAACTAATCCTCAGCTTACTCAAAGGACGAAAATTTATAAAGATTTACATCGTCATATACTGACAATGAGTTTAATCAGTTTCAATATCGATGTGGATGGCTATCCTTTTCCCGATGGAAGGCAAAATTTTATACCTTAAGTCGTGATTTTTGTGCCTGAAATATTTCCGGAAAATGAACTTCTTGCTTTAAGTATATCTTGCTTTAAGTATATAATGGAAAATGTTATTTCAATAGAGCCGTCCGCATAACTACCGTCACTCTAAAATCCAGAGGTAAAAAGTTCCTCTTCCTCTCCAGGGATGTTTAAATACAATTCCCCCAACTCCAACCATTCACGTTAAAATTTATTGTTGCACCCTCTCCTTTTTGGATTAAAAATCAGCATTTTTTTGGAGGAATGTTGAAAAAAATCCAAAAACACGGCGCCTCGTGCAAAATAACTAACCTTGAAACAAACTTTCGCTCATTTTGCTATAGTATTAAAGATTTTCAAACAGAATGAAAGGGGAAAAATAAGAAGATACTTACCTCGTCACCAATAATTTTGTAGTCGAAAATAAAATCTAGACCTTTGGTAGCATTTCCACCTTCCCAATAGCTCGCAATGTTTCCTGTCTTAAAAAATTTTGAGATTGATATCATGTTGAATAGCTTCATCGAACTAGTTCTAACTGCATATCCTCCGTACCATGCTCGTAACACATCCAACTGGCGGTCTTTCTTCGTTTTACGACATAGATGCATTACCTATACGGAAACTCAAAATGCAGTGTAAGCATTGAAACCTGCAAAATGTATTTAGTTAACTAAAAATAAGTGCACGCGATAGACAAACAAATCACAGCGCCTCCGTTCTGCCTCAGTAGCGAAGAGGGCAGTGTCACATTTTCGAAATCGAGTTTTCTTTAAAATTTGTCTGATCTCTTTCATATGAAATCACTGCAATAACTAAAACAGCAAAATTTATTTTCATTATATGAAAACGAAGCACATGAGAAAGCCAACAAAGCGCAAAAAATGACGTAGTTTCAGCAAAACAGCCATAAGTGATATGATTCCTCCAGAGAGCCAATGAAAACAAAGCTTTCGAGGGAACTGCCGCCTTCTCCTGCCAATTTCTAACCTGAAAATATGTTTGTTGCGTGTGTAGAACGCAACCATGCAAAAATAGCACTGACGGCTGTCTTTCCTAACACTAGCTAACATGAAAATGAATAATATGCGTTTTATGGAATTGAAATATATCATCCAATCGATTTCTAAGAGTCTTTTGCATGATTAGGGGCAATTTGACAAAGAACGGAAGCTTTTTGCAATACAATTTTGCAGTCAGACGCTTCTGAGCCCGTTTTCTCAAAACTTCATTTTTGCACTTTCTGCTCTCTTCGTTATCACGGCAGCGTTCATCTCACGGGTATGTTCTACGTCAGTTAAGTAGGCCTCCCTCAAGTGGCCAAAAGCCAAACGATTTTATTTTAGAGTCCCTAAAATAAAATAAAAAATAAAAGAGATAAGGGGGCCACTTCAAAATTGAACAGAAAGATAATAATCGAACGCGTGGACTCACAATGACTACTGGTCATATTCACAGTCGTTCCTTAAAAAGTCACTTTCTTGAGGAAGTCCCATATGGTTTCTATTGCGTTTAAGGGAGGCTGATGGACATCCTTAACGTAGCGTCGTTAAATGGACAATTTCTGAAAATCGAAAGGATATTTCGACGCATTCCTGCTTGTTAATCGAGGGCAGTAAGAATTAATGGGAATGATAAAGCGCCAGTGACGTCAGCGACTTAAGTCGCCGCCAGGCTCGGTCGTCGTCCACTTTAACTCGTGATCCCTATCCACAACGCTCTTTTCCCATGTCCACGGCAATAGCTTTTTCAAGAGCGACTATGAATACAACTCCAACTCTTACACTAACCTCGTCATTTGTGTAGCCGAAATATTGGGCAATTTTCTCGTCCTGCCCGAAGACCACATTGCGAATGCCAACGTCTTTCGGGTCCTCGGCTGTTTCAGAGACGAGGTGGACACAACCAGTGACGAGTGCTTTCTCCAGGTGATCGTTCTTTTTTACCACAACCGTTAAGAATTTCTGGAGCATTTCAAAGATAGCCTGGACATCGCTGATGAAGATCCTGTGACTGGCTAACACTTGGACAAGACTTGAGTCGAAGTCATCGATGAGGACGATGCATTTCTTCTTGTGATGAGCATGCAGAAGGGCTGTCATCTCCTTGGCCATCGCCTAGGGGCATTGTGAAAAAAATGGTTAAAATATGCCAAACGCTGAAGGTTGTATTATGTATACCTGTTTCATAGTGTTATGCTCATTTAATATTTGTCTATGTATGCCACAGGAAATTGGCAGTCGCTGGTAAATTGCAATTTATCTATGTTTAATAAAAAATTTAAAATTTTGTAAGTAAAAAATTAAGATAGAAAGTACTGATTAAAAAGTCAAGAATTCAAATTAGTCCCCCCTTCTTCTTAAATGCATGGTAAGAGCTGTAGCACACTGGCGAGTGAGTGTGTGTAGTGGAGTTAGTGACCTCAGTTGGCTTTGGTTTGAGTAGGCAACTAAAGTAACCGCCTGGTAAAGCGGAGAGTATCGCTAAGTTTGAAGGCGCTCCAAGCCGCGTTTTCGCTTTTAAGGTTCTTCATCAATGAAACCGTCCTGCGATATGTATATTTTTCCTTAACATTCTACCATCGTGTAATTTTCAGAATCTCGGCTCGGCTCGTATTTTCAAAAAAAAAATATAGATCAATCGAATCAAATTTGCTAAAAAAAGAGAAGAAAAAAGATTTTGCAAATGCCAATTAAAAAAAGAAGGGTAGTACAGAGATCCACGTCAACTTTGTCTGGAAATATCTTCTTAAAACTCTAGATAAAGTCAAATGAGACGAGATACGATATCACCATCAACTCGACTACTCGAGTGCTATATTTAGTGTTTAGTTTAGCAGAAAAAAAACTCGCTGCTAGGATCACCTCCGGCGCAGATTTAAGGGTGTTGTTGTAGATGATGCTGTAGCGTTGCCGCTCCTCTTGGGTAAGTTTGCTGGAGCGGGTAAGGTAGGAGTGCTCCTTGGAGGCAACAACAACGACTGCGCGAAAGAAGCGCTCGAACTCCCCGAGGGACCGAGAGGCCATCAAGTACTTAAAACGCAACTCCAACACGGGGTACTGGCAGAAGTGTTTGCTGAAAAAGCTCGAATCCCTCGTCACCTCGAGCCGCTTGTCCAAGAACATGTTGTAGTCGCGTGTTGAGTTCCTGTCGATCAGAGTCCCGTTCACGTCCACCTTGACGAAAAGAAAAGACATAAACATGTTTTTCGATCAAGTTTGGAAACTAGTAGTACCTTAAGGTGAATTCATAGCGGAAGTAAGCGAATATCGAGGTATCGAAAACATTTTTTGCAAAAATACCCGTTTCCATACAGACTAAGGGGCTACGCCGTCTGACCGTTTTGAGCCTCAGGTGTTATAAGTTACGCGTTACTCTTTTGATTTTATATCATAGAGTATGATCTAGGATCTACTACAGCTAGAAGCACATTTCAGACGTTTATTCCCAAAATATATCTTTTGCAAATCCTATAGGATTTTTGCGTTCGGAGCTATAATCTATGGATTACAGTTACAAACGCAAAAATGGACATATCGATTCGACTGATTGAATGCCATGTTTCGCGCTCAGGTACCTTCAACTTTGTTTTTGAATAAATATACCAAAGAGATTCTTTGCGAAAAAACTGTTAAAATGTGTCCTTCATTGAGTGATGGATTTGTTTATTATAGCAGTATTTACATTTTTTTTTCACTGACAGTTTAAGAGAAATCAAATTTCCTAAAAAAAGCTTCTAACATCAAAAGTTTTAGATGTTTGATGGTGCTAACAGGGCCGAATTAAGGGGGTGGCCACATGGGCCGCGGCCCATGGCGGCAAATCTGGAGGGCGGCAAATTTTGAAATTTTTTTTGAATGTAGGTATAAAAAAATATCGGATTTAGAAAAAAAAAATTACAAACGAGAAAAGGCGACAAAATCTTTCATTCCCTGAGAGTGTAGTAATTTTTGATTTGGTCGTCTTTTAGTGATACAAAAGACAGCATCTTTAATTAGTCCAAAACCAAACACGCAATTTGGCCTGGAACGGCGCGGCGCAGAGAGCAATGATGACGAGGACTTGAGATTGAAAGAAGAAGCCATCGGCGCGACGATCGGCATGTAACACATATCAGCGCCTACAAGACTGCACCAATACTTCACGCATTGCATCGAACACAGTGCGGTCATTGCGGTCAGCGTGAAACTGATAGCGCCTACAAGAATACATGAATACTTCACGCATTGCGCCAAACACAGTGCGGTCAGCGTGAGACGCATGGCGCCTACAAGACTGGGTGAATACTTTACGCATTGCACCAAACACGGTGTGGTCTGCGCGGCGCGGCGGCTGAAGTTAAAATCATTAAACCAAATTTTGTGTTTGTTCTTACATAATTTATTCGCTCATTTCTTATGAATGGAAGGCCTTGTCCATACAGAGATAGGTTTACAAAACTTAACTTTTGCTAGTAAGGTTGACAGGGCATCCCCAAAAAATGTGTTCAACACGAGTAAACGCGTCTTATGCACCCCTCCCCCGCTGGCACGTTCACTTGATGGTTTTTATTGATGTTTCAATACGAATGAGAAGGGGGCGGCAAAATACAGGCGGCCCATGGGCCGCAAGAAGGTAAATCCGGCCCTGGGTGCTAACAGAAATAAATGGATTGCATCACCTTTGCTTCCGAGAATTTTCTGAGCATGTCTATGGTGGTTGATTTTCCGAAACCATGCGGTGCAGAGATGTAGAGCGGTTCTTTGCTCGCGAAAAATTCGCGGATGAAACCGGTTTTGTCAACGAATGCGGAGGATTTAAGAGCATCTTCGAAGTTGCTGGGGATATTAACTTCCTTGATATTTTTCGGTGGTATGAATGGGCGCCAGCTGCCGTGCGATTCACAAACCTACAAACCAAATGAATGTAGGTCAGAGTTGATCATCTCTACAAGCGAAGACTGCTGTTCGTAAAACTGCGATAAAACGAAATTCGATTGTGTTCATTCATAATTTCCACTCACATTATGCTTCCTTTAAAAGAGTTTTATGAAATATGTGTGTTCATTAGACTCCTGGGGAATATCTACGAGAGGATATCAGAGTGATATCACACCGAATTATAAGCAATGGCCAGTGACGTCGCTAGTGATTTTCTGTGGATAGCCATAATTAGTTACTTTGAATGGGTGTCCAACATACAGAAAATTGTAAAGATCCATACATTTTTTCGATCTGAAATATTTCGGGTATTAAGATGGAGGAGGGGGTTAGGAGGCATAGGCTTCCAGAATCTGTCCTCCCTCCCTCTCTCCCCTTCTGGCAATAACAATAAAATGTCAACGTTCAAAAGGTAAAATATCTCTAAACATTCGCATCTCATTATGATCAGATTTGCATTATGTCTGATCTGAAAACATTATGGGGAACCTAAGTACATTGATGAGTGACAATGCTAATTTCCAGTACTTCGCATTGACTCATTGTGGTAAAAGTTTTCCGTCGCCTATAATTTTAAATTACAAAATTTTGAAATGGAGATATTACGCCATAGCTGTCAACAATGCACCAAGTTATCACTGATTCATCAGTTGGATGGTCTCTTCTTTTTGTTAATAAGTGTCTCTAGTCGAAAAACGAAATTAAAGAGAGCATATCCTGAATTCTGTGGAAGAGAGATGTTAATAAGAGCGAGTGCAATGAAAATAGAAACGAAGGGCTTTGTTTGAATGAAAGTGAGCAGGAGCGTGGCGTGCTTTGCTACATATCGACTGATCTAGTGATCTGCCATCTGATCTGCTGAACCAATGGAAAAGGATCGATAAAAAGGGTGCTCTCAACGAACACCTAAATAATCGATTCTTTACCACAGCTTGGAATGCGGAAATATCACACATAATTATACATATATCGACACGTGTGAGGCTTGGAGGACAAGGGGACACATAAGTGCAGTTTTTGAAAAAATTGAGGTGTTAATGAATTCAAGTAAAACTAGTCCTGATGCATATTCTGTAAAAAATTCGATACGAAATTCCAATTTTTAATCATCAAAAAGTCAGTTTGAACTTTCTCTCCGCAACAAAGATCCATGTAATTTCGAAACTTCAAATGCATATTTCTCGAAATAGCAAAACCTGCACGTACGCGCTTTGTCCTGCTCCTGCAAGCCCTTCAATATGAACAATACTTTGGACCCCACCAGCTCAGAGACAGTAGCAGAGCTAGTGATGGTCTTGAAAGCTGGACATGCAGTCTATTACTATACGCAAATTCATTAAACTGTAATATCTGGTAAATCGTGGCTCCAATCAATGTTAGTTTGTTTGTTCATCCCTTCTGCGTCAAAGTTTCAATCGCGCCCATGCAGGAGTAAACAAACATCAAAGGGTACTCACAACGTCCGAGGCATAAAAAATCGGCAGAAAAACAACTAAAATCATTTGGGACTCAATACTGAAGTGACAAAAAACACACAAGCTACACGTGACATGAAGGCGGACCCATTTGTGTGACCGCAAGCAACGGCCGGTCCGGTGATGGTCATTTCGTCGCTCCTCTTACGTAAGGACGTATTTTAACATCCACATGAACCCTGGATAGCATAGAGTTATACGGAGAACAAGGCTCACGTTGATATTGAGATACGTCTTTTACGCCAGAGGAGCGACGATACAGGCGCTAGCGTCGACTCTGTGGAAAAAGTCGTTCACCATATGCAGTTATGCCGTACTAAGGAAAAACGCCGTGTGAGCCTTCAGGCGTTGCTAAATTTCTTTTAATAAAACACGAATTTCTTGGTAGACTTATGAATATTTTCCTTCCAATTTTCCAGATAATTTTGTTCGCAATTTCACCTAATGTTCCTCGAAAAGTTCAAGGAATAAAATTCATATCTTTCCTCAAAAATTACCATTTTATTGAAGGAAATTTGGCAACTCTCGAATGCTCATACGGCGTTTTTCCTTAGCACGGCAGAGTTGAAAAGTACACTTCATTTTCGACGCTGTAAACCCCGGTCTCCGCGTTAAAACGGAAGCTCAAAATGAGTGCGGTATGAATCGATTCAGGCAGGGCACCAATTGACACATCACTATATTGCACCAAAATTGCAGTCCGTCGTAATGACTACTTTTCGAGATTAGATTGGCGGTGGACCATCGCACAAAATTAAACGCTTTCCCATTGAAATTTCGAACGTAAAATACTGCGCTGAATTGATATTGAAAAGTTTAAAAAATCTGTGGATCAAAAGCAGGGAATATTTACGTTGATCCAATTGCTGACCGTCCGCCGGGCGGAGGGGGCTCTTTTCATTAGCTGACGTTCCAAATGTTTCTGAAATAAACTACAAAAGTTAATTCCTCACTCATGAGTTATTGTCGGAAGTAGTTGACATGGTCGACGTTTCGACATGTTCAACGTGAAATTTTGATAAGGAGGTATGTCTCGTGAGGGTTCAATACTTACTTTACATAAAAGTCCATTGCTGATCAAACAGAGAGGGATTTTTTGGGCTGCACATTCAACTCTATAAAAAATCCGAGATCAAACCTGGCCACGCTGCGAAGTGGCTTAAGTTGTGGCTCTATGCGTATCAAGTCATGCTTCTATTTTCCAGCTTCTATTTCCAACAGGGAGACAAGGCGAACCCTGGCCTGTTTATTAAATCATATTTAAGCGAAATGATAATGAGTCTCATCGAAACCCAAATCAACAACCGATCATCTACGTCAAATGATGTGATAGTGCTACACTAGCAAGAAATTCATATAATTATAAAATGTAAAAGCAGCGGGTCGAATAATGAAACTTCATCAGTCGTCTATCGAGCGATATGGTACATTAGATTAACAAAATTGATGAAGCAAGATTAATGTGCGGTTTTCGAATAGACAACCATTCGTGCTCTCCGGTAAGTTTGTTGCCTATTCAGAGGAATGGAAGGCGAACTGAAATTCGTCAATTTTCAATCATCCGAACAATTTCTAATGTATGATCTATTGGTTTAACAAAATTCATGGAGCGAGATTAATGTGCGTTTTTCAAATAGACAACCATTCGCGCTCTCCGGTATGTTTGTTGCCTATATCGTGAAATTGAAGGCGAACGCAAATTCGTCTTTTTTCGATCACCCGAACAATTTCTAATATTTTGCATGGGGCTCTACCGAGCTCATTTTCTTAAAATACCATCCACACACCTACTACCCTCTTTACTAACAGGGCAGTTTTCTTTCATTAATTTTCAGCTTTTCACTCCTTCTTTCCCAGTTCGATTATGCCGAGTCACCGGCCCACGTTTACCCGCAAACCAGGCTTACACCTCTCCGAGTCTCCCGGCGACACCGAGCATAATGGGCGTCTAATCAGGAAGCAGGAACCTCAATTTTGCAGAAATTAGAGACGGAGTGAACTATGTTATTAGGGGGGA